TTCAATTTTATATCATTAAATATTCAATTTTGTAACATCAAATGTTCAATCTTGTTAATACGACGTGCTGTATTCAAATTAGTATAATTTTTGTTCATTTTTATTTTTAGATATTTTTCATTGTTTCTTAAGCATAAAAGGGAACTCTTTTAACTTTTCAAATGTACAAATGCTTAACTTTAAAAATAATTAAAAAAAAGTGAAAATCTTAAACTTAAAAAACATACATATCATATATATGTGCCATACAAAATAATTATTGTCTTTCTATCTATACATTTCGTATAAATAAAAAGTATATAGAATCATCGTCTTTGTCAGACGGTTGTACCCCTTTTACTCTTATGATGCTTGTGCGTTTTCCTTTAATTTATTCATATCTTTTTCTCAATATATACGTAATCGTCTTCAACCTTTTTTTATCTTCATTATCCCGTGTAATAGGAGATCAAGATATTGTAAAGGAAAATGTTAGTAACAATCAAAATATACTCTTATATAAACAAACTAAATAATTAAATAAACATTAACAAAAACAAATTTGAACAAATAGCCAGAAAATGAACATAGTTCAATATGAGAATGAACAAGTATTACAATCTATATGAACATCATTCAACATGAAAATGAACATTTACCAAAAGTTCAATGAACATCTTTAATACGAGAATGAACAATTATAAAATTTAACTGAGCATTTTTAATATAATAACAAACAAGTATTAAAAGTTGAAACAAATATATCTCTTTTAATAAGAGAATGAACAAGTATAAACTAAATGAATATGCTAAGTTATAAAAATTAATATTGTATTAAATTGCAAATGAACATCTTTCAATATGAAAATGAACATGTAGTGCAAAGAAAATGAACGTGTATAAATTGATATTAATTATTTTGATTCATCATAGAGAAAAAAAATTGATTTGTACATGATTGGGAATTAAAAAAAAGGGGAAAGAGAGAATGACTACAATAAATTGATATTCATCACAAATTAAGCAACCCAATTGATATTCATTACAAATTAAGCAATTCAATTGATATTCATACAAAACTCAAATAGTCAAACAATAAATAATCATGAACTGCGAAATCATATCATACAAATTACAATTACAAATTGAAAAAATTTAACCTTTTTTGACCTTCAACTTTCTCTCTCCTCAATTTTTCTCTTTCCTCTTCAATAAATTCAATTGATTGTTACTAAAACTTATAGATTTTAAATGAGAGGAGTATATCCATCAAAACAAGAATCACAAACTCCAAAAATTATAAAATCAAAGAAAAATCTTGTAGGAAGAATGTTGACAAAGGAACTCAAGGAAGAATGTTGAAGAAGAAAGGAAAAGGATAAAGAGATCTTGCGTTATATTAGAAAAATGTTGTGTTTTGATGGTGTCGTATCTAGTTTAGCTGCATCACTATGTAGCTAAGTATTTGCGACCAAAATACTAAACCAAGCCCAAATCGGACCTAGGTCCACCTTACTTACAACCCAATGATCATGTGAGGGTCCAAGTACCTTATTCCCAATCCTAAACCAATTAGGATTCTTTTAGAAGTTTTTAGAAGGTTCTAGTTTATCCTTTCCGAAAAGATAAATATCAAAGAGTTTGAAATTGAGTAAAACTTCTCATATGATAATCCTTATCTTATTCAAAGACGTTCAGATATCTTCTGTCGACGAAGGAAGGGTGCTGTGCGGAGGAAAGGGTTGCGCTGGGGTTTGGAGGGATTTTTCGATAAGGTGGCTGGCCGGCTAGCTGGGCTAGGAAGGGGAGGGGATGGTTTCAATTTGTTTTCCGGCAGGGGGATATGGGGAGCGTTTTACGGGATGGGGGAAGGGAGTGGAAACGCCGGTCGGCGGTTCCGGGGTCAGGGTAACGATGGGGCTGGATTCCGGCAAGCGGGGAAGGGGAAAGGTGATCCGGCGGGAGTATGGGGGTAGTGGTTTTGTTTTTTTTTATTTAATTTTTTTTAAAAAAACTTTTTTGTTTTTTTTAATTTTTTAGACAAATCACGTGTTGACACGTGTTCAAAAACCTGGTATAACAGGTCATTGACTTTTGTTGACCGGTTTGGGCCGAAAGAAAATGCCCCCTAAAGTTGGGATTATTCAGGAATAATTGATAGTTGAGATTAATGAAAGTAAATGGCCTAAAGTTGAGATTAATAATAACAAATTTTCCTATTTTTTTTTGGTAAATATAATTTGAATATTAATCCTTCTACAAAGGAACATAAAGTCCATCTAAAATTAACATTTATGATAGATTAAATGTACTAGCCAAAATTCACCGAATAACAATTTTAATTAAATTATGTTATAGAGCACCCTTAAGGGTGAACAATTAAATGGTTCACAATGAGTGAACAATAAAATGGTTGGCTTAATGGCAAACTCTAAGTTTGTTCATCTTGAGTGGTTGCAAGTTCGATTGTTGCTGCAATCAGTCAGAGGAACAAATTCGTTGTGGGCCCCACCCAATTTTTCCACTGCAAAACGACGTCGTTTCAAGGGAGCGCGCCACTTGGCCCAACCGCTACTTGACACGTGTTGTTAGTTTTAAATATATCCGTTGTAATTTTACAACAGATATATTTTACAAAATACAAATCCACAAAAAAAAAAAAATTACCAACGACTTTCTTTTTTTCCCCTCTATAAATAGACACCCATATTGATATACTTTCTTCAACTTTAAAAATCCATTTTCTTTTCTACTATATTTTTCTCTTCAAAAATCCCCTCACTAATTACCAATATTATTATTATTTTTACCAATATTAATATTATTATTGTTATTATTATTTTTATTTATTATCATTAATATTATTATTATCGTTACTATTATTATTATTATCGTTATTATTATTATTATCATCATCATTATTATTATTATTATTATTATTATTATTATTATTATTATTATTATTATTATTATTATTATTATTATTATTATTATTATTATTATTATTTTTTCTGTTTATTAAGATTGTTAAGATTATTATTATTATTATTATTATTATTATTATTATTATTATTATTATTATCGTTATTATTATTATTATTATTATTTCTGTTTATTAAGATTATTAAGATTATTATTATTATTATTATTATTATTATTATTATTATTATTATTACATTAATATTATTTTTTTATTTTTTCCAATTATAAATTATAATTATGGATGCTAATACCAACCCCAATACAAATAGAAAGCAGAAAAAAAATTTGGGTCAAAATATTATCCCAAATCAAGCTAATTTCTATCCAAATCCCCCTAATTTTTCACAAACACCCACAAATATACCCTATAATTTTTCTAGTATTTATCCTCAAAGACCCCAGTCAAGTTTCCCATATAATCCACCAAATTTCCCTCAAAATTTTAATTTTTCTCAAAGCAATTCAAATTTCCCAAATCCATCCATGACACCAATGGGTTACGGTGAATATGGTGCTGCATCTGGCTATTTTCCGTCACAACAACTGAATCCCAATATTTGGGAATCGAGCAATGTCTTATCTGAAGAAGATGAGGCAAATGAAGAATGCGAGGATGATGGTGAGGGAAATGAAACTCCTTCCCCCCATCAAAACTTCACTCAAATGTTACAGCAACCACTCCAATCAACTCCGGAATTTCGTGTTGGTTGTTCAAACAATAGAAGTTGGTCGCGATCAGAAACTGCGGCTCTTATATCCGCCTACATGAACACCAGCACCAACATAATTATCGGCACAAATCAAAAGAAGGGTGTATTTTGGAACAGAGTCTTGGACGCATACGATGCTGCCAGGGAATCGAATCCAGTTGAAATATCCCTACGAACTATTAGTAGTTTGAAGGGAAGGTGGATGCGAATCTCTGAAGCCGTGTTAAAGTGGTGCGAAAGCTATGATAAGGCCCGGAAGCGAAAGGGAAGTGGCTATAACGAAGATGATGTTATCCAAGAGGCCCACAAAATCCATGAGAACTCGTTCGGACGATTCACCTTCTACGAGGAATGGATCCAAATTAGGAAGTGGGACAAATTCCGATCTTTCTTGGACCAACAAACATTCAAGCCTTCGGTGGGACGTCCACATTCAACTCCACTGACGGATGAGTCTGTAGGGAGCGGAAGTAGTGGGAAGAGGACACGGGATGAGGGTGACAATTCCTCACCTACTACACCGACCAGCATGGGTGTCGATGATGAGAGAGTAGCTCGTGCTGAAGGAATTAAAAAGGCTAAGTCGAGGTTGAAGGGTAAAGCTCCATCAAGTGAAGCATTTAAGGAATTAGAAACATTCAACACCCGATTGCAGCTATTTGGGGATTCGATGAATGTGTCAAACGAAGCAGAAATGAAGAGGCTTGAAATACAGGAGCGCAAGGAGGCAAGGAAACAACGGAAAATTGAGCTAGAACAACATAGGATCCACTGAGAGCAACTAGCTCGTCTAGAACAGAAAGTAAACCGAGAACAGTGGGAAGACGAAATGATAGTAATACTTCAGAACAAAATTAAAAGTTTCACTAATGATGCTTAGGCACTGTAATCTTCATTTTCAGTAGTGATAAGTTTTCAATTCCAGTTCAACCTCTTGTACTCATTTCCAATTAATTGTACTTTATCAATTAATCAGTAAAATGGATCTTTTCCACTATCCCATTTTCATAGCCCATGTGATCTTTGTCTCTTTATTCAATTATATCAATTTGTCTCTTTATATATAATTGTGTCAGTATCTTAATTTCCCCTTTGTTAGCCCATGTGAAACCCTTCTTCTCCATTCAATTTCTGTGTGGTTCTAATCTAGTGTTTGTCATAGCCCATGTGATCTTTGTCTCTTTATATTCAGTTATTTCTGAAGAAGAATTACAAATTAGTTCACTATAAATAAACACCATTCTTTCATTTATTTTACACACAAACACATAAATCGTTTGCAGTTATTATTAGAAAACCTCACTCTATCTTACATTTCTTACGTAGAAAATGAATTCAAACAGTTTCAACTTAAGCTCAACCGATTCCTCTTCATCTTCATCTAACTCGGATGATGAGGGAAGGGAGCTTAGAGTTCAACAACATAATGAAGTGTGTCTTATGATACAACACGTAATGCATGAGTACATTCCACCAATTATTCAAGCTGCCACTCAGCAACGCCGACGCAAATCTACTGAGCCCCGAAAGGATAGGGGACGCGAAGAAGGTCATGCACGGTTATACAATGACTATTTCGCGGAAGTCCCAGTTTATCCAAGTTCCTTGTTCCGGTGCCGGTTTCGAATGCGTAAACATGTGTTTGAGCGCCTTCTCAACGCAGTGACCCAACATGACCCTTGGTTTCAACAAAGGCGAGATGCGGCAGGTCGTCTTGCGTTGTCTCCACTTCAAAAGTGCACTGCGGCCGTTAGACAACTAGCTTACGGGTGTGCTTCAGACGCTTGTGATGATTATGTCCGTATAAGTGAGGCTAGTTCACGATTGGCACTCCAAAATTTTACAGAAGGTGTCATCAACCAGTTCGGTGATCAGTACCTACGCCGTCCAAACATCGCAGATATGGAAAGATTTCTACGTATTGGGGAAGAACGTGGATTTCCTGGCATGATAGGCAGCATTGATTGTATGCACTGGGAGTGGAAGAACTGTCCACACGCATGGAAGGGGCAGTATCAAGGAAGAGCAGGAGTTTCAACTCTCGTACTGGAGGCAGTTGCGGACAGAGATCTATGGATATGGCATTCGTTCTTTGGGATGCCAGGTAGCTGCAACGATATTAATGTGCTTCATCGATCCCCTGTGTTCGAAGACGTCTTAGAGGGTCGAACACCTGCTGTGAACTTCGTAGTCAATGGTCATCATTATACGAATGGGTATTATCTTTACTGATGGAATCTACCCTAGATGGGCTACTTTTGTGAAATCCATTACGAGTCCACAAGCTCGTAAGGATCGTTTATTCGCAAAACACCAGGAAGCTGCAAGGAAAGACGTTGAACGCGCATTTGGGGTCCTTCAAGCTCGTTTTGCCATTATTAAAAAGCCGTCTTTGGCGTGGGATACCGACATACTCCACAATATCATGCTCGCCTGCATCATAATACATAATATGATCGTTGAAGATGAACGAGAGACATATCAAAATAACGTTAATACCAATGACTTTATGAATGCTGGAGGCAACGCTAATGAGGACACTACCGAGTACCGTACTGATCGTATTGTGGATATCGGCTTATACTTGACTCGTAGAACAGAGATTGAGGATCAACAAACTCATTTGCAGCTAAAAAATGACTTGGTCGCACATATATGGAATAAATTTGGTAACAACGAGAACTTACGCAATTAGGTTTACAACAAATGGTTATCCCTAAGGACATCTTACAAAACGATGTGTAGTAGTTCTTTTTTTTTTTTTTAAAAAATGTACTTGATTATAGTTGTAGTACTGTAATCACGATTTGTACCTCTTTTTTTTTTTTTTTTTAATTATGTTAATTAAAATTAGCTGCGTCGTTGTTTAAAAATATTGATCACAAGAATTAGTTTTTAAAAAAGCTGATAAAAAAATGCGATAATTTCTTAATTAGTAATCACGATTAAAAAATTAAATACGTCAATTAATTACATTGACATTGAGTTAATAAATTATAATTATGAATTAAATAGATTATATTTACAAAAATAAAATAAGGTGGGGTAGGGAATATTGATGATGAACCATTGTTTAGTGTTCATTGTTAAGAGTGAATATTGTAAATGGTTTGTTGGGTTGATGTGGATGAGAGAGAAATGGTGATAGTGACCCATGAACCATTTTTTTTTTGTTCACCAATAATGATGCTCTAATTATGGAAAATTCATATAACATAATTTAATAATTATTATAAGAATCACTTCCATTGAAACTATGAGAAATCACAAACTCTAATTGAAATTTTTTTATTAAATCTGTGAAGAATTCTAATGATAATCTACTCCCTCCATTCCTGGAAGTTCGACTCACTTTGCATTTGCACGGTTTCCAATGAACATCTTTGACCACTAATAACTTCAGCTATGTATAAGTAAATTTTTTAAAAAGTTGATATTTGAAAAATTTAGCATAACGGGAATTTAATAATATCAAACTTGTTAATTTATTTTGATTGTATAAATCATAAAATGTGGTTAAAGTTATTTTATTTTGACCACATGAATAGTAAGTTCGTCGAAATTTCAGAAACGGAGGTAGTATTAATATGTGAATGAACATATAGTAATATATAAATGAACATTTATTAAAATGAAAACGAACATTCATTAATAAAAAATTAAAAAAAAATAAAAACACAAAACAATTCCACTACAAACTAAATTTACATTTCTATAATACTACAAAATAGATCAAATTGTCCACTATATTAGGGAAATTGAACTGTATCTTAATTTTTTTTGTCCAGTAATTTTACAAGCTAATAACATACACCACAAGTTCAATCAACTAAAAATAAATAATATCAAACATCATTCTACTATTATCATAAGAAATCATTATTATGATAAAAATTATAAAAATCATGAACTACTACAACTGAAATTTCATATTATTAAAGAATAAGGCAAATAAAAAGTTAAGGATACAACTTTTTTTTCGAAAAAATTATAAGAAATCACGAACTACTACTAAAATTTAATATATTTAGGGAAAATAATTGAAAAACAAAACAAAAGTTAGGGGTTCCTTTGGTATTGCTGTGGTTTTCTGAGTTTTTTTTTTTTTTTTTAAAATTATATGATACATGTCATATATTTCCTCCGTTTCTAATTACTTGACCCATAGTCTTACTTTAACTGAAAACTTAATTTATTAAAATAATATAATATTACTGGAATATAGGAGGAACTCCCCGCCTTAGACGGGTAGGCCAGCTTACGGGCCAGGCCTTTCTCTGACCTGATAACTAGTATCGCTGCCTCGCCCAGCTCTATCAGCAGGCCCTTTCTTTTGCCCCGAAATGACCTGGCCCAATAGGGAAATCCCAATTCATTTGGCCTTTCGGTACAATCAAATAAAAAGCCCTAGGGGTTCTTGGCACAATATATAAGGAGAGGAGAGAGAAATTGTAGTTTTGTGGCCCTAATTGCACATGGCTTATCTTATTACCCCAAAAGTTGCCCCCATGTGCACTCTTTGAGAGTAATTTAGAGAATTTATACACCAAAAGCTTACCATATATAGTATGTGGGTCAAGTAATATGACATTTCCATTTTAAAAATGTTAGTTATGCAAATAGAAACGGAGGAAGTAATAAATAAAAAATTAGTCAAATTTATAAAAATTATGATAATTTTGAAAGCTCACAACAGAAAAGTGGAAACATTTTTTTTCTTTTTTTTTTTTTATTTTAAAAAACAAAAAACTAAAAACTAAAAACAATCCCAAACAAGCCATAGGGTTTGCAATTTTTTTCCTTCAAAAAATAAACAAAAATAACTTACAATTTGATTTTCGATTTTTCTTTTGATGAAATTTCCTTCGATTTTGTGATTTCATCTTTTAAAACTAATATTTTAATTGAGATCTAACCGAATTTTGATTTTTTTAAGAGAAATTTGAGAGAGTTTGGTAGTTTAGGAGAGAGAAGTAGAGTAAAAAGTGAGGAAAGTGGGTAAAATTTTGAGGAGAGAAAAAATGTAGTATTAATATTTCTTATTTTAGCATTTATATGATGAAAGAGAAAAGGTGGAAATTTGTTTTTTTTTTTTTTTGGTCAACATGATAATAGTTACATGGAAAGGGAGTGAAGGTATAAGTGTATAACTAGCTACAATGGGGTGTAGGTAATAACTTTTACCAATATCGATTGACAATATAATAAAAGCTAGAAAATTCAACCTAAATTAATCCGACCTAAACCCAAAACGAACGACTCTTACATAAAAATGACTCGATCCAAAACCGTTTCGAACGACCCAATTACTTCCTCCTTTTATCTTCCCGCTCCCAATCATATTTTCAAAAACTCCTTCACCATCCGAGTACTGAGGATTAGAAGCAAGTTCTCCTTCTCGGAATTATGAGCCGAAGAGAGAGAAAACCAGAGGCAACAACAATGGCGGAGGACACAGAAATCGAGGTCCCTTCCACCTCCATTAATGGCGCTCTCATCTTCCATGTCGTTTATGATGTCTTAGGTTTCTTGCTCTATATGCACCAGCAAATCCCCTCGTATGCTCTCTCTCTCTCTCTCCAATTTCTCGTATATTTTCAATTATGCCAATTAATCATCTTAAAATTCCAATTTCATTTTCTTTAGTGTGTAATTTGTGAAATTAGCATCAATTATCAACTTAATTTCGGAAATTTGAACTTTATATCAATCAATTTATTCGATTTTGTGGAAAATTTTCAAAAAGTAATTAATAGGGATTATATTTTACATTGTTCGTGTTGAATTTATAAAATTGAGATAAAATCAGCTCTTTGTATTGGTATTGTTGATCTTTTACTGTTTGTCTTGTTGCGATTATGCTTTAATTGCAAAAATCATTGGTAAATGTGATTAAGAAGATTATTGCTAGTTGCAATATGAAGCACAATTTAAATGCTTCTTAAAATTCATTCAATTTAAAAAATTTTCTAAGCAGATTTGCTAGTATTACCTATTTATTACTAATGAAATGGGAAATTGCAAACATCCAATGAAATAGAATCAATCAATAAATACTGCTGAAAGCCCAAAAGTCTGCATTATGGTGAACTAACAATCCTGTTATAGGAATATGAGTTTATCATATGATCATGAATAGACACATACACTTTTCTGAGGGAGATTCAAGGTAGTTGTCGCCTTTTTGGTAATAATTAATCCTGGTAATATTTTTTTGGTTAGTAGAAGCGAGTACTAGACAAGTAATTAGAAGGAATGGCATGGATAATTTAAGTTGCAGATGTTGAAGATACATAAGATGTTCTATTAGAACTGATTAAACTTCATGTTCGACCTTACTGTTGTAGACTTGTAGTCCAAGTGATTAGAGTTAATGGATTTATTCTTCCATTAGTAGTATAATAGGCATTGTAGGAGTAGGCATTAATTATTAAATTTTGTAAATAATACTTAGAGTTTGTTTAGCAAGGTTCAGTAAAACAGGGGTCAATAGACATCAACTTTAAACTTCATTATCCTAGGCATCAATCTTGCTAGAAAAATTAGAGGCGAAAGGAAAAAAAGATGAAGTGAAGGAAAAATGGAGCACTAGAGAGGAGGAAGTTTACGTCAGAATATTATTTCCACCCCTTTACTTCTGGATGATGATTTTCTTTCCATCCAAACACAGCCCTGATGTTATGTTTTCCATGGGATGTTATGCATTGCAATTTGATGGTGCTAATTGATGGGAATTTCACAATTTCTGTCATAAAGTGCAAAGATATCTTCTAGATGACTGAAGCTAACTTCTTCTTCTGATTTTATGATGATGCTTTCCATAATCGGGATCTCCTTTTGCAGCATGTTGCAGGATATGACTCTTCAATTTGATGCTCTACGAACTGAATACCAGGAGTCGGTATGTTTTATGGGATGCAGTGGAATTTATTTATCAGCTTGAATGATATCGTCTGAAGATCTTTTATTTTAGGAGATACTTCTTACACAAAGTGAGCTCAATGCTTCATCTAGAAGAAAAGCCATTGGGAGGAAAAGAGATGTCAAATTAGAGATTAGAAGAACTGAGAAATTGATGAGTAAAATATCTGGTCTCCAGACTGCTCTTTGGCTTTTGATTCGTGAGTTTCCCAGTGTTGAAGATTTAGTCTTTGTTTTTGGAGCAAGCCCACGCCGACCACAACATGTTTATCAGATTGTATTTCCTCACGGAAGAATAGCTCTCGTAGATTCTGAAGATAAGGCCAGAAATCGAACAATAGAGATGCTTTCGAAAAAGGTTGGTTTGACTAATGCCATATCAATATTTCATTGAACTTAGAGACTACTAATACTAAGTGAGCTTAACTCCTTTTGGACAGGTCATAAGGGCACTTATCTCTAAAGGTGTGGGATCCGTCTCCTATACAGGTACATTGTCTGATTAAAAACAATCTCCTTGAGTGTGTACATGGTTCTAACATTGCTTCTACTTTAATGTTTTTAGGTCCTACTAAGTTGTTTCTCCTGGTGAAGGCTCCAACTTCCTTCAACATGCCTCTGCATTTTCTACCAAAGCGTGACTTCCAATTCTCAAAGAAGGTTGCAACCCTTTTATTGAAATGACATCCAGCAAATTCAGTAACCTGGCTATATCGGTCAAATAATTCAGTCCATTATAAATGCAAATGCAATAATCAGATGTGTTTTTGAGCACTTAATTTTTAAATCTTAGCACTATCATCTTGACTTCTTCAAATTTATATCACGTGCTTTGATTCTGCAGATTTTACCATTCAGGCTACAGCTTAGATGCAAGACCTCTCATCATGAATCATTATCATCTTCTTTTGCCCCAGGCGCAATCACTGACTTCAATGAGAACAATTTTATATGCAGTGATATAACATGGTACAAATGTCTTTTATGCTCTAAAATTTTTCTCTTGACTTACAGTAGTTTGAAAATATAGCTTTATGTTTCATTTTTTTCATATATTTCTGACTTTGAACTCAAATGAGAGTATTGGCTTCTACTTGCTCATTAGTCATTACATAGATGTGTTTCCACTGAGAGCTATACAACATGCAGTCTCTTTTATCTGTATTGGAACGGTAGAATAATTTACAGTTGGTGCGCTTAATTCCCAATTTTTGGGGAGTCTCCTTCAATAGTGTTGATAGTTGAGATCAAATGTAGAACCTTCATTTGCATAGCAGCTTGTTTTTTTAGATTGAAGTTGGCCGTAAATGGTTTGTCTTTGATATTATTGCATAAGTATTTTATAAACAATAGCCACTAATAATTTGTTAACAGCAGATAATTTCATGCTTACTTCTGTTTGCTGAAATGCTTTATGGCCAAAAATGCCATGGCTACTTGCTTTTCCTTGTTCTGGCCTCTGCATCTGTCATCATACTAATAGTTTAATTCAAGCAGAACCTTTATTTATATGTAGGGTTTTCTGTATAGTGTGTATGAAAACTATGTCCTTAATATACTCATTTTGCAGGTTTCAGTGCCGGCATGTAATCAAGGGCATTGCTTTAGGGAATCCTTCACCTGAAGATTAAAGGTCAATGACAACTTTAAAACGGGTATATAGTTAAGGACTTTCCATTTGTATGCCTTTTTACTGTAATCTTTAGCAGTAGTTGTTATATTTCTTTTTCCAATGTTTGAATTTATCATGGTTACATCTCCAATGTTCTGTGTTCTCCTTGAATAAAAGCAATGACAGGGTCGACCATATGGTCCCTTACCGTATTTTTTGGCTGCAAAATGTGAAGCTACTAGGCTAGGCAGTTCTATTCTCTGCATTACTTCCTGTATGTTACACTTTAAATAATTGAATAATCTACTTTGTGGATAAAGATAAGATACATGGAGAGAGTTGAGTGCACATGCATTGTTCCGATGCACATCGAAACTTATGAGTCACTTTGAGGTATTTTTTGATTCACAGCCCTCTTCACTTCAATTATACTGGGTTTCTTTCCATTGGCATTCTCTTTAACCTGCTCATAAAATTCAGAAATTATACAATAATTTTTTTTGTTTTTTTTTTTTAAATGTGAATATTGCAAACTTTGATTCTTCTTGAGTGCAAAATGGTTGTGGACATCTGATATTTTGATTGAGCACGAAGAAAATGCTTGTGCACTAGTATATACACAGCAACACTGATGCTAAAATATTGAGCATACTAGTCTGCTGCATACTGAAAATTTCTGGTCCACACCAGAATAACTTTAGAGGGAGGGAAGATTTTGAGGCATTTAGGTAATTAGGGGGAGTGAAGATTTGAACCCGGGATCAATCTATGTGGAACTTCAGTATAAATTACAAAAGGCCTGTTTAATAAAGATTAAAACAGAGTATATTGGAGTTCACATTATTTTATGAGGATGAAATGTTGCGTCTTGTAGGATGTGTATTGTTTGAGGAAATGAAAATGAACAGAATGTTAACTTCTACGAAAAAAGAAATGTTGGGTTGAGAAATGAGGAAAGTAATGCATGTGATAGAAAATGTGGCATTCTTTCTTCAATTAAGAAAATCTGGTGAAGTGGTATACTAGGGATTAAGAGAAATAATACCTTGGCTCTTAACTCTGCTGCAAGAAGGCCATTGTTAAGGGAGGACAACACTGTAGTAACTTCTAGGCGCATGTCTCTCAGTTTGATCATGACATCCAGCAACAACCCCTCCTTATATGGGCACTGCAACTCCACCAATGCATCACTCTCAATTATCGACACTTCTAACATGTTACTTTGTTGCGACTGTGCTGCTGTCTTCTTTACCCTCATTTCATTTCCACTGCTGCTTTCTTCTATCACCTGCAATTTCCTCTTATCTCTCTCCTCTCCAGACTTTGTACGCCCCTCAAGTTCCTGTACCTTTTTGCGTAGCTGCTTCACATACTCAATGGTATCTCCTAAAATAGAGGCCTTGTCCATTTTTGTCACAAATGGCACCAATGACCTCAAAATGACAAACCTCTCATTCAACTTCTCCCTTCTCCTACGCTCAGCTAATACATGACTGGCCGAGAGCTCATCATGAGGAGGTCCAATAGTACTCTTCCCGCGACCAAGGGCCATGTAATGCAGGTCTGACTTGGGGGAGCTAACGTTCTCTTCGCGGTACTTGGAATGAAGGAGAGGAACTGTGAATAGGATATTTTTAAGAAGGCATTGCGAGGTGCCTTCCACTGGTGAATGGTGATGGTTGGACCCTGGTATCCAGCTTGAGAAGGCAGAGTTTGAAGAGTAGGAGAGGTAAGAAGAGGTTGCAACGGAGGTGGTAGAAGAGGGTTCTGCCCATCGGCTAGATTGGAGTTTTAGGATGATAGAGACGGTTTGGGAGTAGTATGCGTCTTCTTGGGAGAGGTTTTCCATTGGAGCGATACCTGGAAAATTAGACAGTCCAGAAATAATCCTTGGCTGCATGCATTATTATGATTAAACGTTGGTCAAGAACTTAGTCTTAAGTTAGTAAAATAGCTGCGAAGTAGAAGGGTTGGGAATATGACTTCTTCCGTCATGGTAGCCAACTAGCCATAACATTAAGCTATCAAGCACCACAATAAACGCAAAAAAAAAAAAAAAAGTTGCTAGGACACATATGTTAACAATATACCAGCTGCAACTCTTGTTACACACTTACACATACAGCAATAGTCTTTGAACACCAACAGGTACTGAACAAAAATAAGCTTGTACAATATACTATGAAAATCTAAAGATCATATTCATAATACTTTAGTTTAGAATTAAGACGAGTGGTTTTTAGTAGTTTGTTTTGATTAATGTCCTATACACTTTTAGTTTAAGGTTTATCAGTAGAACTTACATTCAATATAGTCTAATTTTTTTTTTATTTTCCTTGAGTGCTCCTCTTTGGTTGATGTTTATGTTTTTGTTCCTTCTTTTCTCATGATAGACCTGTGAATAGGCTGTGATATTGTATGAACTATGAAGGTTTCCCCTTTATGGCGGGCAGTCACAATTGAAGGTCTAGCAAGTTGTTCAGGATGTTATACTAGCTAGGTTAAATTAACATGTGGGAACAATAGTGCAATGATTCAATATTGTGAGAGTTGATTCCTCATGAAGGTTTTGAGGAAGTGAAAATTCTCTTTTTTGGCTTTGAAGTGATAGTGTAACAGTTTAGAATTGTAAAGACAAGCCTAAGGTAAGAAACTAATTTACCTAGAGATGGTGTCTGGAAGTTGTTGCTAATAATTATTGGATCCTGTAGTTGTTGCTGTTGCATAACAGGCCATCTTCGAGTTGACTTCGTTGTTATGAATGAGTCAACGGTGTGATGCTGGTGACTTGGTGTTGGAGGTGTTGGACCAACAGCCACTAAAGGAAAGTTCGAGTCAAGGTTATTGGATACAACATCAGGGGAGCTGAGTTGTATGTCCTCAGGTATTTCTATCTGCATTAACTCGATTGGCTCATCAGATGAGTCAGGAACAACGGTAATACCTGGAAACAAATATTGCTGAATATTAATAGTTCTTACATAGGAATTAAGGTCATACATAAAATATTATCATACTCCCAAAGTTCCAATATTATGGCTGCTTTGTACTCTCCATCAGGAGAATAAAGACCCTGTAAATATGGCTCAAGAGCTCAAGAGGACAATGAGTCACCTTTTTGGTATCGCAGTTCCAACTTTACTGGCAAGCCAAGGATTGTCTGGGCCTCAGGATCTGAGTCAGCTTCGCCCTCAGTCTCATCATTCTCATCATTGCTGTTGGCTCCATCACTCGGAATAGGTATTGGGTCGACAGTGGTGTATGTGGCAAGGGCAAGAGGAGACTGGAAGTGGGAATGGTTGGAGGATGCAGTTGGATTGGAGGTAGAGTGCTCCGAGAGTGCAGGTTTTGGTTGTAATGGTGGTTCATTATGGAGCTGGTGGTGGTGGTAGTGGTCGTCGAAAAAATATTTGACTTGTTGAATAAAAGATGGGTCTTCTTGAACCTGCTTCCGAAAAAAAAAGTGTTTGTGTGAGAGCAAAGTATATCGTTGAAGTCAAGTAGACGAATCCCAAATAAATAAATACGGAGTAAAAAGTACAACTATTTAGGAGGAAAAAGGGTTATATTGGTTTTTACTCTCTTGGTAAGAAAGTAATTTGCATATATATATATATATATATATATATATATATATATATTAGTGATCTTAATTAACGTGACAACTAAATTTGAGCGGTTGTAAATCAGAAAGTAGTAAGCTTGTGTGTAACATGAATGAGAACATTAACCATGAAATCTGGTATTCATACCTGCATCGGCTTATACGTATCAAGTTATAAGGGAGAAATGTTGACTTACTCTTTCGGTGTATCCTAACTCCACCACACCATCCATTACAGGTATGCACACTACAGTCTGCAATTCATGTTGTCAAAGAATAAACTTTGGTTAATTACTCATTTTTTGTTTCAAAAAAGATTTTGTTGATGATATTAAAGTCGGAATTAATACATACTTTTCCATTCTCTTATTATTACAGTAGTTGAAGATTTTTACTGTGAGAAGCGTTCCTTAATACTCAAGGTTGTGTTCTTGAGCTGGCCCACTATCCTAGCTTGCTCACCTTTCTTTTCCTTTGTTCTACACGTGGAGTACATGCACTATAGATTAAGTGTAACTCCTTTTTGTTCTAGTTTGAGGATTATTAATTTGGTTTTTCACCAATTAAACGACCCTCTTCCTGTTTTTCACTCCCAAGTCAAGTTTCTACAGCTCTTTTCCTTCACTTTCACTACTCTTGCCTTTAACCTTTTCTGTCCTTGTTGCTATTTATTAATGGCTAACTTCAATCATTGGACCGTGTATTGAATGGGGGTGTATTTAAATCAACCTTTGGAGCATTATATTACTAATATCGATTGGAACAAAGCGATTTTTGGGCCCAATCCTCCGAGTCGTGCGATTGTTCAACAAATGGTCGATACTCAATGGCTCACACGAGGTAATATTGTTGTGCATTGTACTGGTAATTACTTTATTTTTGCATGCTCAAACTTGGCGGACGTAGAGGGTTTACTTGAGCAACACACTTCATTTTGGATGGTAGAATTTGCAATGTTCGTAGGTGTAATAGATACACTGTGTTAATTTTGATTGTGGATTCGTGTTTATGGGCTTCCTCTAGGGTTTCTTGATCCGAAATGGGCTGCCTGATGAACCTGAATTCCGTGGGCAGGTTTTAGTTGATCTTTCTAAACCCTTAATACCTGGGTGTTATGTTCCGGGTGAATTTTCTCCTACTTGGGTTTATTTCAGGTATGAAGGGGTATTTAAGTATTGTAAGAAGTGCGGTTGTGTGGGTCATTATAAGGAGATTTGTGAGTGTTCGGATTATGTGGCTGCTAGGATGGAGACGTTTGAATCTCAAGAATTAACGGTGTTATATTGCCCACATAATCGGCCATTATATACGAATATGGTGGAGGGAACTCAGGAAAATTTTAGAACTCGTAACACAAGAGTGAACCTTCTTGATCTGGCGCAAGACTTCGAGTATAATGATGAGAGTTCGGGTAACGATGATGATATGGATAATGATGATGATAATAACCCTGAAGATAATAATCCGGAGGATAATGATGATAATGAAGACGAATAGGAACCTCCTTATAATGATCAGAATGGTGAGGTCAATGAACCTGATAATTCGGACTCAAATTCATCAGGTGCAGGGGATCACGTACTGCCGAATGGTCATGTCATTGAAGCTGCTCCTACTTGGGAAAATAATGATAACATAGAACCTGAATTTATTCCGATTAGTGGGGTTTACCAAAATGGATACATGTCTCACCCGAATAATGTGGCTGCTTCTTCTACTTCGCA